CAGGAAATTGCAATTTTTTCATGACTTCACAGAATGTTCACGATTTCAAAAGATGCCACAAATTTTTAATTTTTTTCATCATTTAAAAAATATCACGATTTTTAGAAATCTGCACAATTAAAAAATCTTCGTGAATTTAGAAAATATGCATGATTTCAAAAGTAAAATTGCGGTTCAAAAAATGTGCATGAGTTTGAAAGGTGTTCACAAAATGAAAAATAAAAAGGAAACAATAAAATAAAATAAATTATAATGAAAAATAAAAAGAAAAGATAAAATGAACATGAAGAAAAGAAAAATAAAAAATAAAAAAGAAAAGAGAAAACGTAAAAGAACGAAAGGAAAAAAAACTGTCTAGGAATGTTGTAGAATATTCACAAAACAAAAAGAGGGAGCCTGCCCTACTTTGGCCGGCCCAAATTCAGGTAGCGAAGAGAGAGGTGCGTGTTTAGTCGACAACTGTCGACCTACACGATAAATAGGAGCCGCCGCTCACGATGATCCGATCGCCGCCGCTGCCTAGGTTCAAGCCCTATGCTTCCCCGTCGGCGCCGCTGCCTAGGATCGCTGCCGGTCGCCGTCCTGACGGCGTCTTTGCTACCCTTGCATCGCCCTTGCCGGTTTGCGTCGTTTCAGTCCTGCTACACATACCACGAGTGCAGCCGTCGTAGGGGACACAAGGTCAGACCTACGATTTATGCCATGCTTTTGTCACTCGGTAGCTGAATCGGTTGTACTGCTAGCTTGTGGGTGTTGGGATTTGCTGAATCGGTTGTACTGCTAGCTGACGAATCGCTAATCACGTTTGGCTAACATCTATGGATTAGTACGTGGTGGTTTTAAGTTTGTAGTAGCTGCTAATTAGTCCTCATTATTTGAAAAGACTAGTTTTGTGGCACTGCTGGTGTGGTAATTGATCTAGTGTTGAACACTTTAAATTCATCCAATTGGTCAAGTCATTGTTTTATTTGCTGAAAGAATTATGTCTATCTAAACTCTATTGCCCTGTTATTGTTCACTAAACCCTTCTTAATTAAGCTAGGACATGTAGATCTATCGTGTATAGGGAACAACGCAACCCCTTTTTTTTGGCCTCCAATAATCGTCATTAACCAAGCTTTTACTCCCTCCGTTCCTTTATGTTAGGTGCATTTTTTTTTACAAAATTTCCATAATGTAAGGTGTATTTGCTGTAATCTTATATAATCCCTCTTCTACCCCTCCACCATCACGTACATAGAAGCTAGCCCCCTCACGCTAAAATCAAGCCAACCCATGAATGCATTCGTTGGAAATTAAATGCTCCTATCCTTAGTTAGGAAACCATCGTGCAAAAGGACACCGGCCACCACTTCTCCGATGGATTCACCGGCGGCTTGCACTGTATTCCATCCTCTGCGTGGCCTCGCCCACCAGCGCCTCGGCGATCGACCTGAGCAGAGATGGTGACACAACGGGTCAAGTACTACCCCGGAGTACATAATCTGGTTCAAGGAGTATGGAATACATACAGTACGTACCTGTGAAGCCCGCGTCCGCGCCCGCCTGCGCCTTGGCCGCGCCCCGCGTCTTCCGCCGGCGTGTGTACGTCAAGTCGCCCGTGCTCCGCAGAAGCAGCTCGCGTGTGTTCAAGGAGGTCCGCCTCATCGTCGGCTTCTTTGCTGGCATGAAGTCGATCATGCTCGCCACCATTGCCGTCATGAAGGGAATGCTCTACTTCTACATGGAGCCCGCAATGAAAAAATTATCCCGCTATTACTGCAAAAAGGTGAGATTGCACAAGAACATACCGTCGTCGGAGTCGTCGGAAGCTAGCCAGTCATAGTCGTATCCAAGATCACAAGCCCTGTGTTCATTCTCCTCAATTGAATCCCAATTAGGTGCTGGATGCAAGTCTAGATCAACCATGCTTTCTGTTGGCCACGTACTGGAAGAAGGGGGAAATGAAGAAAACCAGACGGAGTTGACTCATTTTGTACTCGAGAACATATTTTAAAATCTTCATTCTGTTGGCGCCAAGTGACTTCCCTCCCTTTTACTGTTTGCCGCGCGAGCTCCTTTTCCTATAGGAGGCAACACAGTTATTTGCATCGCTGATTTCTTGGGATATGGGGATTGCATGTGCCATGCAAGGCCGGCAGCGTATCTGCATGCAGCGGCCAAATCAGTGGAGGCGCACCTAATTGATTTCCAACGCTAAACCAAATCAGTGGATTCCAACACCAAATCTGCATGCAGCGGCCAAGTAGTAGCGGCCAAGTAGTACCAGGGGTAGTATTGTCCCAGATGCTCCAAAAATTGCTGCCTTGGTTATCGAGCTGGAAAAAAATGCATCTTAGATAAATGAACGGAGAGAGTATTAATTAAAGCTAGGCCATGTAGGATGGAATAAGAACATATATTTGACCCTTTTTTTCCTACAATTTTTCCCATATGATTGACATGTATCTGTTGTGGTGTGCCTCTTATGAGCAAGCATCACCTGGCACGAATTTTTTGAGGAAGAAAAGTGGGATTACTGATTCACACACTCCTAGCACACCGAAGCCGTGGAAAGCACAGGTACATACAAGCCCCCAAAAGAGTCTAGTACGATATGGAATTTCGTTGCCCAAAAAATATATATGAAATTTCTAATATTCTTTTGTCCTCTGCTAATGTTAGGGTGCATCACCCGCCACCATCGTGGCTTCTTTAAATAAAGCGACAACGGCTAGAGAGAAGATATGTATATATTATTTTATTCAAACAACACACGTACACAGTAGGTAATAATAACTTGTCGCACTACATTGCCTCCTCTCTAGCCGGATAATTATTGTGATACTAGTAATCATCCACGTACAACGCACGTTTTGACAAATTACAAAACAGTAAAACTGAGATAGCTATGCACTTTCACAGTGATTTGAGAATCATGAACATCCGATACATCTTATATATGCACCAAATTGTTCGGTCCTCCGCCCTCCGGCAATGCGCCCCCCACCTGAGTTAAATGAAAGCGCCCGCTGCTCCTTAGACTGCTCTCATGGTGTTCTCATGAACTGGGCCAAGTCCTAGCCCACAGGGCCGCGAGGGAATTAAGACCTTTAGGCCTTCGATCGAGTGTACTTCGCACTGATGTAATCTTGAACCTGCGGATGACCCCCCTCTCCCTTTTGCCACTTTCTCTAGTAGTGTCATTTTGTCTGTGTTCTGTTTGCCTCCTCTTTTCAGCCGGTTCATGACAATTGTTGCATGCATTTCTGGAGGCTCCTCAACCTCTGTTTTCTGGAGACCTAGCTGACTCCAACACCAACAGCCTCTCCCAATGGTGTCCAGTTCCCCACCTCAACACTACACCAGAGTATGTACAACCATTGATGACAGATGAGGCAGGCAATCGGTGGTAGTTATGTCAATCAAGAGGCTATTGGTAGCGGAAGCGAATGGCTTTGAGAAGGAGATTTGTCCGATGGGCAATGAGAAGGCGATAGTGAAGGTTTTGGTGCACAAGAGGAGGCGGCAGCGGATGTAGCGGAGCAGTTTGGTAGCATTTTCTGTTTTGATCTGTACAACTGATGTGGTAAAAAATTGTGTCTGTCGTACTCTTTGCTCAGGTTAGATAAAGGGGGTCTTCACTGAACCATGCTGGACTTCACGTGTACAGGATCTGTTTTCAGACAACTATCATCTTACGTAGCAACTTCTGTAAATTGGACACAGCTATCAACTAAATGCCACACACTGTCCATATTATTTGTGAAAAAAAGAGACATAATCTGAACGAAACAGTCGTGGAACAAACTGAAAAAAATATCAACATATATCCCTTGCAATGGGTCAGAACGAACAATGGAGTTGTTGATTAATCAATCATAAAAACACAATCTGAACTATTTCCCTGAAAAAGAAGTAAAATAAAATTCAGAACTATACCGGAAAGAAAAATCAAAGCGTGTCTATGCCTTTCAATGGATCATTGGAAACAAGGTAGTTGTTGTCTTGCTGCAGGAATTTACGAATTCATCAAGTTCCAAACTGGGCCGCATGGTAGGAAAAGACCTTTTGGTATTCCACATGCCGTTCAGATCATGCAGGTTAGTGGTATTCTTGCTTCAGTTTTGCCCCTTGTATTTTGTCTGTCACTCATTAAAAATTTCACCTAATGATGCATCTCTCTGTGATTCAATTCTATTGACATGTAACTTGCACGGTGCCAACACAAGGAATATCACATTTATTTTTCAACTGAAGACATTAAGAATAGCAAATGTACATCTATAAAGTGTCACTCTATGTCCTTCCATGTGCCAAATAAACAAAGTTAAGAATTAAGAAACAACCAGGCATGTCCTATTTCCTATTATATTAAGATGACCTAGCTAGGTTTTCTTGCTTATGCATCACTCAGGAAAAATAGCATGTCACATAAAGTTCACAGAATCATCTTCCAGGTGCCATACACTGTCCATAGAAAAGAAACTGGAAAAAAAAATCAAATCCTGAACCCTACAAGCTACACACAAGTTATGAGTGTCTGGTCTTGAGGTGCAGGCCTTGGTGCCATAAACGGCAATGTAAACACAAACAAGTAGAGCTGGTACCAAGTAGCAGTCTGGCAAAGGAGATGAATCACAAGTGTAGCTTGAGTAAAGGAGGCAGGAGCCAAACTTGAGTAGAGTACAAAAGAAAATATACAAGTCGCTAGTGTAGAAATACAGGGGAGATGGCATATTTTTCAGTAAGTCACAACAACCCTTATTTCTGACTGCAGGGTACTATTCAATCTTCAGAAATAAATGATATGCAATGCAAAAACTAATGAGAGTAATATTTCTATAATTAAATTAACATACTCAGGCAAAAGAAACATGTGTTACTGGTCCTATAATTAATAGGCATAATATGAAATCAACAGAATGATCCCCAAATTTACTAATGTGTATCATCAAAGTTATACCCAAACTTGTGTTCTAATCATGCATTATGTCCTTAAAATTGCAGAGATAAAATCTTCAGTCGCTAATCCCTAATTCACTTGTTGTTGTGAAGCTGCTGAGGGGCAGGGCAGTGCTGGCATCCAGGGGCGTGGCGTCAAGCCACTGGGGCGCGAGGTGGCTGTGTCCACGCGTGCTCCCGCGGCACCCATGGAAGAAGCCTTGGCAGGGCGGCGTCCTGATGAGCAGTTGTAAGAGGAGGGTGATGGGGAGGTTAGGGGGCACCTCGCAAATCCTGGTGCCCTTGATGCCGAACCATTTGAGGGTGCAGCCTGTTTGGGCTAGAGCGAGCTCACCCTTGCAGGACCCTTCCAGCTTCATGGCGTCGCTCCCCTTGAACAAATCCACCATGCAGATCCCGCACACCGCCTCCTCCGCGCTCCTCCTTCTCTCCTATCTATCTCTCTCACATGGGTGACTCAAGCCACGGGACGGCAGGCAAACTCCTCCTCTGGATCCATCCGGCATGGGCAGGGGAACGCGATATGGAGTGGAGAGGAATTTGAGGGCGGGGCGGCGAGCGGTGGCGGCTTTCTCAGAAGAGAGACGGGGTCGATTGGGACTTTCGTAGCAACGGGGTGGGGGGAGATGGGGCGGCATCATCTCGAGGAGGCAGCGAAGATGGTGGCGGCAAGCGTGCAGCCGATCCGCAAATCATGTGTTATGGGCGAGGCTGCGCGGATCGGGGGAAGCAGACTATTGGCAGACCGGGACGTCTGCTCGGCAGAACATTTGACGTGAGCCGTTGATCTGGACGATAGACCATTTGCTTAATATGGACAGTAGGATATGTTTAACTTGATTTGATCCGAGGGCTCTGATTATCTTGTGTATAGTTTGCTGTGTGGTTTTAGAGGAGTTTATGTTTGCTCTTTTATTAGTAGTTTAGATAGTTTAGATTTACGTACAGAAAACAATGGTCTGCTATCAAGGTGCTATTTATGACCTTATTTGGAAAGTCTTGGATGGCTAGAGGGAAAAGATTGCAAACTCTATTCTCAAGGGGTTACTACATCTATGCGATATTCAAATTGGTCACCAGACAGTACGGAAGTTGAGTCATTCGTTGTCGAGAGAAAACAGTTGAAGATAAATATAGAGGATGTAGTTAATATCATGGACGTGCCTTCAGAAGGAGAGGACCTGAAATTAAGCGAAGGCATGCAGAGAAGACGATCAAGTCGGAAAGAAAACAGAAACAAGCCGTACTGTTCGCGGCATACAAATACCCAAGAGAGCGAGCAATTACTTAAAAAGTCCTGGTGCAACAAATCAAAGAAAATAAAGAATATACAGAGGAACACTTCATGAGAAGGTCCACATCACTACCAGAAAAACCGGGGTTGCCGACGGCCAAATCTATGCCGACGGCCCCCGTCGGCATCGCCGGACCTATGCCGATGGCCAAGGATAAGCCGTAGGTGTAGAAAAGCCGTCGGCATACATCCATCTATGCCGACAGGGCCGTCGGCATAGACGAGGCCACCGGGACCGCCCGAGATACGCCTACGGGGCCCGTCGGCATAGCCCGCGCCCACCTCCCCGGTCAGTGCTGACCACTTGACGGCGTTTATCCTACGCCGACGGGCGTTAACGGCGGCCGTCGGCATATCTGTGGCCGAGGTATGCCTACGGCATAGCCGTCGGCATAGGCCCCTCTGCCACGTCAACGATCCGTGTGCCACACCACGTCATCGATCCGTGTGTGCACAGATATGCCGACGGCCTTGCCATCGGCATATGTTTACTTTACTTAATTTTTTATTTTATCTGTGGCAGAGATATGCCGACGGCACAGCCGTCGGCATAGGCCCCTTCGCCACGTCATCGATCCGTGTGCCACGCCACGTCATCGATCCGTGGAACAACCTGCGTGTGTGCACAGATATGCCGATGGCCTTGCCGTCGGCATACGTGTATTTTATTTTATTTTTTTATTTTTACTTTGTTTTGTTATTTTTACTTTATTTTAGTTTTTTCTTTTGCATAAGATAATTATGCCTTATCTAAAAAAACATACCCGATGGTATATCGATTGCCCCCCGTTACGAACGTTGCTATCGCCGTGTCACGGAGGGGGGAAATGGTCGACACGGAAGGAATTCTGGTTGGTGGGGGCATTCGGGGTGTACCTATGTCACCGAAACATTGCACGGGTCCCGATGCATATGTGAAAGTGTTCATGCATGCGTAGACGCCCGTCTTGGGGCTCCGGGGTGTGCCCCCCTCACGGACGGCGCCGCTGCCAGCACCTGGAGGGGGGAAACGGACGCGTGGGGTCTACACGGAGGGGATCTTGCTGTGGGTCTGGCCCGGATGTTGCTCCAAAGTGTTCATATGGGCTGACCTAACACAACCAGGTGGGGAGGTCCACTGGTCAAAGCCCGTCCGTGCAAAGTCAAAGGGGTAGATCCCGTGGTCAAACGCTACAGGGTTAGGCGGGACGGGGGCACTAGGGGGGTAGCAATGCCACCGGAGCGTCGCACCGGGCCCTCATACATGCGGGGTGGTGTGGTGGCATGTTCGAAGAGGCGGGACGCGTCTCCGGTGCGTGGCCCCCCTCACGGACGGCGATGACACGGTAGTAGACGTTCTGCGGTAACGATGCGGCGTCAATATTACTAAATTCTCGGAGAGCGATAAAATCATGAGTTTTTTTGCACGACGCGGGCACATGTGCTATAGGAACGATGGTATTTTTTTCATAATTTTTGGTGATGGAGAAGTATCCGAAAAATTCCCTCTACGCGGATTGCCCTTCGCGCGTCTACGGCTGTGGCCGGCGGCCTCCGGGGGCTAGCATGCCGACAAATCTTGGGCCGGCGGCCTCTCACAAGTCTCGAAGTGTTGTGGCGGTTGCAAACGCCCGGCACGCGTGTTCGGGGTGTGCCCCCTCACGGACGGCGCCGCCGCCGGCACCTGGAGGGGGGAAACGGACGCGTGGGGTCTACACGGAGGGGATCTTACTGTGGGTCTGGCCCGGATGTTGCTCCAAAGTGTTCATATGGGCTGACCTAACACAACCGGGTGGGG